TGTTCTTTTATAGGATTTTTCTTTTTCATAAAGACTTTGATTTTGTATATTTCCTTCTTCGTCCCACTGACTTTCTTCCACCTCCCATAAATTTTCAGGTTCAATCCACCAGTTCTCTTCTTCTTGAATATTTTCTCTTTCTTTTTCTTTTCCTTTTTTTAATTTATTATTTTCTTCATTTTCACTTTCATTATCTTCATTATTTTGTTCATATACCCTTTCCTTCCACCTATTTTGTCTCCTATCTTCTTCTTCTTGTCTATCTAACCTCTCCTCATCATAAAAATGTCGAAAATGCTGATCCCGTCCGTCCTCTTCTTCCTCTTGTTGATTTTGGCCTTCCCCTTCTAGATTTAACATATTCTGCACATTCCGACTTCTCTCCCTTTTTTCAAGAATATTTTGTCCCCTTTTCTCTTCACTCTTCTCTCTCTCACTGAGTAAACGACGGCTATACCTCTCCTCGTGAAAATGCCGATTTTGTCCGTCTCCTTCGTGCCGATTTCGTTCTTCTTCTCCTTCTTCTTGCCTATTTCGATCTTCTTCCACCTCTTTTAATATATTTCAACTTCCTTCTCTTTCCTCTAACCCTTTTTCTAATATATTTTGGCCTACTCCCCCTTTTTCTTTTATATTTTATCCCCCTTCTCATGAAATCGCCGATTCCATCTCCCCTTCTCGCGAAAATGTCAAAATCACCAATTGCGTCATTTCTCCTCGCGGAAATATTAATTTTCTCCTCCCCCTCAAATTTCGTACCTTTAATTTCCTTTCACTTCCCCTCTCTCCTTTTAATATTGTTTCTCCTTCCTCTTCCATTTCATTTATTTGTTTTTTGTAACTTTGATCAGATTGTAAAGATTCGATTTCACTATTTTCACTGTTATTAAAAGGAAGTTTTTCAATAAAAACGAAAGGTTTATCAGGAAAATTACTTTCAACTTTATGTTCTTTCTGAGTACCACTTAAATGTAATGAACTTTCTCCTTCTTCGACCATTTTTTAATTAAAAAAAAAAAGGAACGTGGAAAAATTAAGGTAGATTTAAATAAATTCGTAAAATGGAAGATTTATTTTTTTTTATTTTAGAGACGAATTGAAAGAATAATCCGCGGATTGAAGGAGTAATCTGCAGATTGAAAAAATAATTCGGATTAATCCTTCAATCCGTGAAGTAATCTTTCAATCCGCGGATTTAACATATAATCCAGATTATTCGGATTATTTTTTTTTTAATCCGGATCTTTTAAACTTTTAAAAAGTGATCCGTCAATCCATGTTACCACGGATAATCTGTTGGATTGGCAGATTGGTCATCCACAGATTACATCTTTATTTATAGTATCATTAAATTCTGCAACACCTAATGTATTACCATATTGAAATATCTACATAAATTTGTTATAATATTCTATTGGAGGTTCCTGGCCAATATACATTGGAATTTGAGCGATCATTGGAGCTAATGATGATGTAACATCAATTAAAGTGACCATATTGAGTGGATTTATTAATGGATTATTTTATAAAGTAAAAATTTGTTGACGTAAATTAATAATTGTTTGTCAGGCGTCATGGGTTTTATTTTTCCATTTTTCATACCTCACTATAAGTTAATCTCGCCAATACTCTAATATTGCTCCATGATTATGACATTGTTGCAACTATACATGTTCCCAAAATTGATTTTGGATTTTTGAGGTATTTCGACTTTTTGAGATTTATACAAAATCTATTCTATATATAGAAGTAAAAAAAAGTACCTAGTTATATGTATCTTTAATTAAAGAATAAATCTGGGTAGTCAAAAAATTTTGAATTTTAAGTAAAATAATTTCGTCTTCTATGAAAAACTATTTCAACTTTTTTTTCTCAAAATTGCAATTTCGGGGTCCCAAAATAATTTTACATGCAAGTATAGTTGCAACATAATTGATAACCTTCAAAATCTAACATTGCAATATAATTTTGAAGGGTTTTGAATTAATATAATTACTGATATAAGTACAAAATTAATATGTAAAAAGTCACATATACATCAAGTAAAAAATAATATATATATATATTAATATAAATAGCTAATTATATAATATCGTGTGAAAATTTGAGATTACAATTGAATTTACACATTATAAATTTATTAATTATAAAAGATCAAAACTTTAAGATTCTGTTTTATTAATAAATTCCTGAATTTTTTGAATCTTTTTAGGGATACCAATTTCCAGTTTTTCATTATACCATACCTCAAGAAAAAAGATTTTATTATCTTGACATATGTATCTTTTTTTCCAATCACAATTAACAATATCCTCAAGTTTTTGAATATCCTTATATCAGCTAGTGTTATGAAGTCGATGCTGAGCCCCTTGTACTTTTAATACAATCTAGCATTTTTGAAGGAATGCATCAAGTTTCAATTCATTCAAGAAGGGAGGATGATACTCAATTATCAACTTTTTCTCAAGTAATATTTAAACTATTAGGATATATTTTTTCTGAAATTTATGATTTTTCCTAGACTCAAGTTCTTTTTTAAATTCATTTAAATCCTGTTTTAACTTTATATTCTTGGTTTTAACTTCTTCTTTGTTATGCTTTAACTTTGTATTCTCAGTTTTTATTTTGATATTCACATTTTTTAATTCATCTATTTCCTTTTTTAATTTTATATATTTGAATATTAAATTGTAAAATTTATTGTAATATCTTACTCTATCAATAATAAAAAAGCAAAAATTGAGTTATAATTTCTTTACCAATTTATTGATCTCTTTATCTTTGAATGAACTGGGTTCAAGAACTCATTCAAAAATTATTTCTTCAAGAAATATTTTTATCTCATTCCAAAGATTTTTAGATCACTCTGACACCAATTTGAATAAATCAATTTTGAATTATATATTTGTCATTATTTGTCATTAAGTTCAAAGAAGGTAAAGAGTTAATCTTTCAACTTTTTTTTTTCAAATTTTTTTTCATTTTCTGTTTCTGATTTACTTTTGTTAAAATTCAGTTCTTTATTTCTACCACTTTTTACTTTTACTAGATAATTATTTCTGGAGGTTGTAAAATAAGTTTTCTAAATTTAATAGTATTTTGATCTTTTGATTTTTTCAAAGAAGACTCATCTCAGAGTTACTTCAGTTAATGTTTACTTTAATTATAGAGAGTCAATTATTTCCTATTATTGTTTAGTAGTTGTACATATCTATTACTAATATATTAATAAGGTAGAGATAGGAGGTGTAATACAAATTGAATCAGAAATTTAACCAGATTTAATTTAGCCAATTGAGTTCAGAGATTAACTCTGATGCAATAATTAAATGTTGATTTAAAAGCTAAATTCTAATATAATTTTGATTGGTTAACACTATACATATTTTCAAAATTAATTTTGAATTTTTGAGATATTTTGACTTTTTGAGATTTATGCAGAATCTATTCTATATATAGAAGTAAAAAAAGTATTCAGTTATGTGTATATTCAATTAAAGAATAAATCTGGGTGGTCAAAAAATTTCAGATTTTAAATAAAATAATTTCATCTTCTATGAAAAACTATTTTGACTTAAATTACAATTTCAGGACTTCAAAATAATTTTGTGTACAAGTATAGTTAACACAATTATAAAATTATAAAATTTATTGAATAATTATTTTTTAATCTCTACAACAGAAATTAAACAACTTTCTACTTCAAAAAGAAAATCTGAAATTTTTTCTATAACTCTTTTGTTTTTTCATGTATATTAACTATATTGATCAGGGAAGACCTTTTCACTTTGATTTTAATTTTCTTTAACAGATAAGAAGAAACAATACTTCTGAATGATCCACTATCTACAATTAAAGAAATTGTTATATCCTTGACCTTAGTATCACAATAGAATACTGTTAACTAATAATTAGATTACATACTAACATTTGTTTTTTATTTTCTTTTGACTAATGCTTTTTCTTTTGTAAACTTTTGCTAAATTCTGTTTCATTCTGGAAGTTTTCAAAAGTAATTGATCATATATAATATTTATCTTTTGGTTTTGCAAATTTGCTATTATAAAATATTTAGAAATTAGTGAAATAATTTAAAGTAACTCTTTTTCCAGTTATTTTCTTCTTGGAGTAAGATTTTTCTGAACTTATGAAACAACTTTTGACTTTTTTTTTAGTAGCTTTCATATTTTCTAATTTATTTTCTTTAGGAAGTTCTTAGTTCAGAATTATATTTATTTATATATCTTCTTGAATTTCTTGTTGAATATTATCCACTGAAAATTCTACTATAACTTTAAGATATTTTGAAATTGATTCTTCTTTTTCTTTTTGTTTTGACCAGAGCAGAAATATATCTTTTTTAGCCATTGAACTTGAGCCACTTTTTTCAACAAGATAATATGGAGTAAGTATTTATGCAGATTAAGAAAACTATCTTGGTTACTTAGATTATTTCTACTTTGATTAGTTTCAACCTAATTCACAATAGTTTAAGCAGGATCTGAAGTGTTATCAAAAAGTATGTTATTTGTTGTATTATTATTAATCTGAGTTTTCAATAGAACAGAATTGGAAAAAGTTACTATCAGACTATTATTATTATTACTATTGTTTGAAAAATTAGATTTATTAAATCTGTTGAACTGTTTCTGAAGTTTAATACAATTTCTACATAAATGTTTAGAATTGTTACAATTATAACATACAATTCAGAATCTGGGATCATTATTATTATTAGAATTATTATTACTATAATTATTGATAGGTCTAGATGGTTCTTTTTTCTATAAGTTGAATACTTGACCCATTATTACAGTTACAGCTTCAGTCAACTTATAAATAGCTACTTTGGTTAAATTGATTAAAGCTGAAGAAATTTTTGATGCTACAGAATTATAATAAGATTGTTCTAGAAGATATGAAGTGGCTGAACTGTTTACATTATATGATAAAACTGATATATGGAATTCTAAAAAAAAATACATATGTTAGATTCTGTTTTAAGGCTGTCTTATATGTTTTCATTCTATTATATACATCTGGGAGAGAATGAGAAGTTAAAGTGACTACATGTAAACAAAATTCTGAACAAAGTCCATTAACAAAAATTTGGACCTTTGTAGAATTTGGATAAGCATGTCTTTCTGATTCTACTCTTATTAATTCTTCCATTTCAGTATAATAGGTTTCTATTTCTTCTCTGGACAACTGCTTTCATTGAGTTAGTTGGCTAAACCATTGTGCTTCTAATACAGCTGTTCTAAACTGACAAATAAAAACAGAACGAAAACTTTTATTTGAATTGTGAAGGTCATTCCACCTATCCACTTCAGGATTCTGATGTCTTCTGGTTGTTCACCAAATTACAGCAGATTCTCAAAAGCATGAAGTGATAATTGTTATTTTCCAGACTTCCAGAATTATATTAGCATCAAATGCTTTTTCTACTTCCTCTATTCAGGATACTGGATTCTGTTCTTCATCAAAGAAATCAGGATAAGATGCTAGATTTATCTTTCAGTTAGAAGTGGCTATATTAACAACAGATGGCTGTGTATTCTGTAACTGATATATTAATGCAGCCAATTGGTAAACAAATTGATCTAATCCTTGAGGTTGGGAATTCATTATTTCTGGAGGAGTATAGATATTATTCACTAGATTGGAATTTTGCAAATTGGTTCTACTGAATGATTTTCTTCCTCAGATGAAGGATTGAGAGGGTTATGGAACAAGCAGCTTAAAATATTACCAGGCGGAAAAGTATAGGACTCTATTTTGACTAAATTATTTGGATAAAATTGGACTAAATGCTAAAGTATATGCTATATATGCTATAAGCACTATCGGAATAAATTGTTTGATTGGAATTGATAATTTTCTATCAAAACTAATTATTTTTCTACTTGGATAGGTCTGGATTGTTTATTATTCCACACAACCAGCACCAAATTATGTGAAAATCCCTCGAAATGATAAAGAATTAATTCTCACAGTAAAGAAAACAAAAATTTGATCCTTAAATAATAATTTTTTAGAATCATTGTGGATACAAGTTTTAACAAAATGTATCTTAAACGTGACTAACAAATAATGAAATATTCAACTGTCAAATAATAGGGGTTTGGGGTCATTTGTCCTTGAATAAGTTTAAGTGAGAATTTGCGAATGCAATTTTTTTCAGAGTTGACAATCACCCTTGAGAATAATCTGAAAAAGTTATAATTTTTTATCAACTTGAAGATGTGCGGTATCAGGTATCGAGAAAAATCTCGGTTAAGACTACAAAAAAGAAAAACTGATACTCAGGAGTTAGAAACAAGAATACTTTTATACAGTACCACAGCCATAAAGGTGGGTGCGAGTACACTACAACATATAAAAAAAAAATAATAAAGGTCGAAGGCGAAAAGATAATTACAAAGGCGGAAATTATAAAACAAGATCAGATTTAAAGAATTCATATAGCCTTTTTTGTACATAAATATATATAATAATAGAAATTTATTCAATAATATATATATATTCGGCACAGTATTTTGCATGAGTTCTTTGCTTTTTCAATTAAACATCTTACGGAATTCAAGTGGGTACAGAATAAGGAAACTCGGATTAATTTGCGTAACTATTTCTTTTTTTTTATGATTATCAACCTTAATAAATTGTGTTCCTGTTTTGTTTTTGGCGTAAACATATCGAGATAGAATTTGATAGAATTGAAATAATAATAAAAAATGAATTCAAAAAATAATAATAATTATAATAATAATAACAATAACAATGATGTTGCTTTAAAGGATGCTATTATGTGTGGAAACGAAACAATTTCTAAAGCTGCCCTTCGACACGATATCCGTTTAATTATGGTTGGCTTTCAGAATGTATGTGTAAAGATTTCTCTCTTTTTTTTTCCTTTTTTAAATGACATTGGTACTTATGTTTAAATACAAAAAAAATGAATTTAATTTTTTTTTAAATTAAAAAATAGAATAAAAATTACGACTTTACAACTTTTACGGAAGTTTGGTCACATTACAATTTTTCATTAATACATTTTGCTTGTCCCGAGAGACTTGGTCGTGCTACCTTTATGCAAAATTTATATCAATTATTTATTAGTTAAGATCTATAATTTATTTACTTGTTTATTTTGTTATTTTTATTATTTTTTTTATGATATTTATTAAGTATTATTGTTATTTTTTTTTAGGTTATTATTATTCTTCACCATTGATGGAAGTTAAATTAGGAGTACTTTACGGAATTTATCTTTTATACTTCACTCAACCAGATAACTTTGAGAAGATTAGAATTCGAGTTTCTTTAAGTAATTGTTCTTTATTAATTCATTCATTTTTTTTGTTTATTTCATTACATCATTCATTCATTCATTCATTTCATTATTCATTAATTCATTCATTTCATCATTCATTAATTCATTCATTTCATCATTCATTAATTCAATGATATTAGAAATTTTCCGATCTTTGGCACGTCTTCATAAATATTGTCAAGAGAATGATATGTTTGATGCTGAATATGTTCACGAAAGGCTTATAGCCGAAAATGCCTTTGAATTTGTGGCAGTAATGGATCCTTGTGGAGAATATGGGAGAGATGTGCATAGTAAAAAAAAGTAGGGTGTATAGATTATAATATTTATACTATCAGATTAAAAAAAAAAAAGTATTAGGTTAAAAAAAAAACTAAAAAACTAAGAATAATATTTATTTTTTTTTTCTAGGTCAATTTCAAATACCGTTGCTGAAATTAAGGATGAAATGATGATGACACCAATAGTAGGTTTTTTTTTTTCGAAAATGTTAAATTAATTTTTCTTATAAGTAAATAATAATCATTTTTTCACATTCATACGTACATACATACATACATACATACATACATACATACATACATACATACATACATATATACATATATACATATATACATACATATATATATACATACATACATACATATTTATATATGTATATAGAATGAAAACCCTGATTCTTTAAAAAATCTCGAAAAAATTTCCAACCTTTATTACACTCAAAAACGTAAAATTGTTGATACGGAAGATGCGAAAATTGCCTCACGCAAGATAACTCGAAAAAAGATGAGATCGGATCCTATTCCTGAAGATAGTTCATTAATTGATATATGGTCAATTGTTGCTCCATTAAGTGCTTCTGATGAAAATATTGCTATCACACTTAGAAATAGACTTGTGCAAATAAAAAAAGAGCAATATGAATTCTTAACAAATACCAATGGAAATGAAGAAGATGAAGATGATGAAGATGATGATGATGATCAAAATGAAAATGAAAGTGAAGAAGTAGGAGGAGGAAGAAAAGGAAGAATAGAAGGAAATGATGAGGTAAATTGAATTATATAATACAATTTTATTTTTAAGAACTGATTTGGTTTTTTAATCTTTCTTATTATTATTATTATCATCATCATCATAAATAAATAGCCCACAACTTCATTTCAAGTTCGTAACAAAATCCGATCACAACCATATAATAACAGCAATCGACAGTATGTGCCTTTAGCCATGCAGGCAGCGATGGTTGCTGAACGGGATGCAGCACGACAAAATAAGGCACGTTATCAGAAATCCAAAGAATAATCAAAATAATCAAATTTATCAATTTATATCACCATATATCTAAATATAATATTAATCTAGAAATTATTAGTTTTTTTTTTTTTTTTAAAAAAAAAAAATTGTAAATAGAAATAAGAGTAATTCTTTGTAATAATATCTCTTTTGTAATAATAATAAAAGTACTTAATGAACTTTAATGATAATAATAATAATTATGAATAATAAAATTTTTTTTTTTTGAATCATTTTCCATTCTTGCTTGAATTACATTATTTGAGAAATTGTTACTGGGAGTATTTCTTAAAAATATAATAAAGAAAATGCATTCCAATATTAATATTATCAATCATGTTAACAGTTTTATTTTATTCACGTAATTAATTATTAATTATTAATTATATCTTCGTATTTTTTTTAAAAATTAATAAAATTAATAATTTAAATATTTTCTTAAATGATTTTCACCAACACATAATAATAATAATAATAATAATAATAATAACAATAATGAATTTTCATTAAATATCAAATAATTATAAATTATAATAAATCAATTCTTTATTATACATATTTCTTGGATGGTAAACCGATACCCTCAAAGTATATTTTATAAGGGTGGGGAGAGGCGAGGATATTTTTTATTGTATGAAAAAAAAAAAAACCGCAAAATAAAATTATAGATAAATAAAAATTATATTAAAAGAAAAGGGAGGTTCGCGGAGGGTTATGTGAAGACTTAAGGTGAAAGGTTTTTATAATAATATAGTGAAGAAAGAAAGAATAATAAATAGAAAAAAAAAAACCAATAGAAAATTATTTTACCTACATTTTTAGTAAGGAAATACGTCGACTATTGCTATTTAAGTTAAGGGCAGTTTTTTTTATGGTAATTTTTTTAAAGGTAATTAACTAACAATTTAAGGTTTAAAAAAATTTGATTGATAACGTAATTCACTTTTTTTTTTAACAAATAGTAAATCGTGAATTTTGAATTTGAGTTTTCTCTCTCTTTTTTTTTTTTTTTTTTTTTAATTTTTTCCTCTCACAAATAATACCTCTCACAAATAATAATAATAATAAATAAATAAGCAAACAGTAATAAATATAAATAATAATATGGTTTTCATAAATAATTTAAAATATGCATGGTAAGGTTTTTATTCAAGATCCACTTTTGCAAAATAATATTTAGTTGATATTTAGTTAATAAGTTGATATTATAATATTTTTTTTAAGTTCCACGTGTATCAAAGGACATCGTTCTACTAGTTGTAACCACCATGATCGACAATTATTTTTAATTAAGAAAAAGGGACGGCCTATAACTCAGTGTGCACATTGTCGAGAATTGAGAAAAACTAGAAAGGTACATGTCAAATGTAATTGTCATGAAAAGCAAACAACGGGAGGAGGAGGAAGAGGTAAAGAATTTTATTTTATTATTAAGTATTTTTTATTTACATTAATAAGTGAAATCATGATGCTCATATATTAGGAACATCTACCCGTCAATTGGAAACGGATGATTATCAACCAACTACAGGAGACAAAACTTCAGGTGAACCTATTAAATACTATAATAGATTTGGGGGGGAACTTTATATAGAAAATTATTATAATTATTATAATTATATTATTATAATATTAGGATATTATTATAATTTGGATGATCATTATTATATGCTCATTATAGTTATTTTATATAATTTTATTTTTTATATATATATATAGTAATGGCATTATTGAATCCATGTCAGTGCTTAAGTGGAAAAAAATGTATTTGTTGTCGTCCAGTTGATAATGATGATGATGATAGTAGTGATGGTGGTTGTGGTAAAGACGATAATGGCGATAAAAATGGAATAATCATTGATTCTACTGTCTCCTCTAAAAACAATAACAGCAATTATAACAATAATTATAATTATAATATTAATGGAAGTAGTAACATTTCATCATCTTACCCATATTCAACGCCAATTTCTCAATCATCTATAAATTCTTCAAATCCATTAAATCCACCACTAAATCCTTCATTAAGTCCTTCAAATAATATTTCATATTACTCCCATTCTAATACTCATCCCAACGCTCACTCCAATTTTCACCCCAATACTCATTCCAGTATTCACCCCAATACTTATTCAAACAGTCATTCTCAAATTCCTCAAACATATCAATATCAAAAACTTCAAGATAATAATAATGACAAAGTAAAAGATATTATTAAATTACCTTCAATTCTGAATACTCTTCCCAAACCAGATTTATTTTATAAATATAATAATAATAATAATAATAATAATAATAATAATAATGATGATGATGATGATAATAATAATAATAATGGATTAGTGGTAGAAGGTGAAGAAGGAGAGGATGAAATATCAATAGATCAAAGTGAAGTTTTAGGAAAACAATTATGTCACGCATCATCAAATGATTTAGCTAAAATGATATATCAACCGTTTTATCAAGATTATTCTTCAACGAATGATAATAATTGTTGTGGTGGTGGTGGTGGTGGAATTAGAAATAATATATGTAGATGTGGTACGGGATGTAAATGTGAAGGATGTAAAACCCATACTGAAAAATTATCAAACATTACCGATTTCTCTTCTTTTTCAATTAATAATAATAATAATAATAATTATTATTCTACTCAAACACAAAATAATTGTTGTTCGTCAACATCTTCAACAACAACACAAAATAATTGTTGTTCGTCAACAACTACGTCATTATCGCATAATAGTTGCTGTTCATCTTCCACTTACTCTTATTCATATTCTTCTTATAATAAACCCGAAGAACATACAACTGCTTTTGATGAAGATGGTGTATTAATATGTGGATGCGGATGTAATAAACCAGATGCGGATTGTTCAAGTTGTACGGATAGTCTTTGTGAAGGTATTTTATTAATTTATTTTTAATTTATTTTATTTTATTTTATTTATTTATACCCAAATGTTTATCATTTATTGCTTTTTTAGAATATGTATTTGGAGGTTCAACGTTGTAAATTTATTATTCTTATCCAGATGAATGTAATGAATTATAATACATACATCTATATATACTACTATGTTACATATATATATATATACAATATTTTACATATATTTATTATAACTATAGATTTATGCATATCATATAAAATATCTCCTCAAATATCATCTATATTTAAACAAATGTGGATTTGGTTTTTATATTATTATTATTATTGGAATATTTTTTTATTTAATAAATTAGGTGTACTTATAAATATTCATAGAATTTATCAAAACAAAAAAAAACAAAAAAAAGTATCGTTAATGAATTACGCGAAAGAATTGAAATCTTATACTTACATAAACACAAGTTAGCTATTTAATACTATTTACTATATCTTTATTTATTCAAATAATTATTATCTGTTAATAATATAAAATATTGAAAAGTCGAATTTCAAATATTTTTGTTAAATCCGAGCTAAGCCTTCAAGTTGGATCGAACTGGATCGTTAACAAGTTTCTTTAGGATGCTTTCTATTCATATAATTTAGATGAATTGAAAGCATCCTAAAAAAACATTATACTACGCAAATAAAAACTAGTCTATCCATTAGTCCTTATTATTTACAAAAAATAATGACCATAATAAGCACTCTTGGGCTGTGTTGTTAAATTTGCATGTCCCCATTGTCTGTCCCTATCCTAAACTAGCTTATAAGTAAAATATTAAAACTTTATAAATAAATATAAAAACAACTTTTTAATAAATAATTTTTGTCCCAAGGTGACCCTTGAAAATACTGCTCTTGGACACTTGTTAAAGGTGGTAAAACCTGCCTACGTGTGTTCGCAGGGTATATTCAAGGTACACAAAAAATCATAGAGCTTATTGGTTAATATATATTGTATAATATCACGTGATCAAAATGAATGAAAGAAAACTTTTAATTATTTCTTTAAAAAATTTATATTCAAATTATTCAAATTGATAATAAATATTTTTTTGTAATATCTTAATTCCATTTATTAATAATTTTAAAATAATATATACAGAAAAAAATTTAATAATTATTTAAATATTTCATTTCCACTTCGATTTATATATTATTTCACTAAATATCTATATTTTATATCTACAAATTAATAAAAATTTATACTAAATATTAAATCTAACTGATTCTAATTAATAGAAGAAAAAAAGAGTATAAATTAGTTACCTTAAGAAGAAACTGTTAATTCACAAGGTCGTCTAACAAGAAATAGTACTAGATCGAAATTAATAATAAATTAAAAAGAAGTTAATATAGAATAAACGATTTTAATAAAAACTTAAAATATTAAATATTATTTATACTGCTAGAATAGTTTATTTTTAATTTATTACTATAAAAAATACTCTTCTAAGTAAACTTCCTCAAACATTGGATCTAATTGGATCTAAATAGAGGTAACGAAGAGACAGCTTTAACAAACATAATTGTAAATTTTTGTCATCTATTAATTAGTTCGTTTTGGTAAATCAATTGAATGCTATTATAAATCTAATATAAATATTTGTGTAACATGATGATCAAAATTGTGACTTGTCCTATGCTCACAAAAATTTAATGTTTAAATATCCATATCCATTTCCTTTTTGAATTTCGATGGCATGCATATATAAAAACTTCAAGTTAACGTACTTTCCACACACAAACATACACAAAAACAAAAACAAACATATACATACACGATATATAATAATATAATAATAATAATAATAATGAAAGTTGGTGAGATAATATTAATTTATTTAAAATATTCAACATAAATAATTTTATATATTTATATTCTATATGTTAATGTATTCAAAAAAAAATAAAAAGCTTGTCTTCAATTTAATCCGAAACTTGGTGAAATTGAAAAAAATCAAAATTTTGCTTCTGGGTTGTTGAAAAGGTAAAATTTTTATTTAGTATTTTAATTGATTAATATGATAAATGTATCTTTACTACCTTTAATATATCTTTCTTATATTTATATATATATATAGTTATAAACCTGGTGATATTGATATTTTGATTTTACCTGAAATGGCCTTCACTGGTATTTATTATTATCATTTATTATTATTATTATATTATTCATTCATTATTATGTTATGTCTTTTTATATTTTTATTTTATTTTACTTAGGTTATACGTTCAAAAGTAAAGAACATATTAAACCATATTTAGAAGATGCGGAAACAGGAATTACAGTTCAATGGGCCAAGGCACAAGGTTATTATTATTATTTATTTATTATTATTATTATTATCATCATTATCATCAATAAATTCTATCTACTATTATTAAAAATATTCTAATTTATTATTATTATTATTATTATTATTATTTATAATAAAAAAAAGCAATAAGATTACGTTCATTTGTTATGGTTGGATATCCTCAAATTGTTAAAGGTATTTTTTTTTATCAATTAATCAATCATGACATGATTATAAATTTTATTGATTTTAATAATTTTATTCATTAATTCATTATATATAATAATAATGATAAATGATAATAATAATAATAATAATAATGAAATAGGAAATCCCGATATATATTATAATAGTATATGTTTCATTGGTCGAGATGGAAAATTAATTGAAACATATTCAAAACACTTTTTATATACAACAGATGAAATTTGGGCTAATGAAGGACCGGAATTTAAAGTAATAAATGTAGATAGTTTAGGAAAGGTAATGGGTTAAAAAAATATATATATACTGTATATATTTTATTTATTTATTTATTTATTTATTTATTTCATCTCACTTATAGTATTTTACAGTATTATTATATATTTTATTTATTATTAAATTAAAGGTTGGTTTCGGTATATGTATGGATCTCAATCCATATCAATTCAAAGCACCATTTGATGCTTATGAATTTGCAAATTTTCATCTTCAACAAAAAGTCAAAATTTTACTTTGTTCTATGGCATGGTTATCAAATGGTGATGATGGTGATGATCATGAAATTTCTACTATCAATTATTGGTGTACTCGATTATCTCCTTTAATAGATAATAATTACAATAACATGGGTAATATCTTAGTTGTTGTATGTAATCGTACTGGAATTGAAGATAGTAAGTTTAACTAACTTTAACTTTTTTTTTTTTTTATACTTTGAATTAAATTATACTTTTAATTTTTTATATTAAATAAATTATACTTTTTAAATTAAAATTAACAGGTACAACTTTTGCAGGAAGTAGCTCTATTTTATCTATATCACCATCTACTAGTTCAATACATTTATTAGGTTCACTTGGTAAACGTCAAGAATCTGTTATGATCATTGATGTACCTATAGATGATGGTACCTAAAATGGATTTTTGCAAAAAAAAAAATAATAATAATAATAATTAATTTAAAAGATTTTTAATTATTTTATGGCAACCGAAACTAAAAATAATATTTGGCTTCCACGATTTAAATATTGTCTGCCGTAGATTAAAATGAGGTGCGGAAAAGTAATATATACATAAACTGCTATAAATAATTTAGTTGACTAAAAATATTATGGTTTTCAAAAAATATTTTAGGTTGCCAACCGAAAAATATTATTGGCTGTCATAAATAACTTGAATAACTTGAGCTACCATAAATTAACTTATTAAACCGTTGTAAATCATTTTTAAGATTTAAATATTAAAATAAAAGATTATTATTTATTTAAGATTTAATATATATTATTTATTATCTATGAACTATATATAATTGATCAATAAATTTTTTTATTAAAACTAGTGTTATGTCCGAGCTAGACTGATGGGCTGAATTCTGGTTAAGTTGATGGAGTTGACGGAGTCGATACTAATGATCTCATCAGTTTGACAAGTCATTATAGTCCAGCTTTGACTTTGATTTCAAGAACAACATCATTTTATAGATGAGCGATCTCGTACTAAAACTTTATGATCGTCGATCGTGCGTTCGATCATTCTGTACGACCGTATTCAGAGTCTAACTTTATAAGATAACGATGCAGATCCAACATATGAAATCGGAGATTACTGGACCGAGAAGCTAAAAAGTCGACACATCTATGTTATCGTAGAGGTGCCACGTAAGTGCTGAGCACAGTATGCATTTTATTTTTGTTTCTTGGCCTGGGGATTTGCGTTCTTATAGATTCTTCATATGCCTCTACCTCGAAACCTATATCACTTTTCTCGTTGCTTTTCTATAGCATCAAGTCAGGAGATACAAGAGCACTACAGAATAAAATCACCACAAATTCTTAAAATATCCACATTATTTTCTCACAGGACGTTTTAGTTTCAATACTTTGATTCAAAAGTTGTAAATATTAGTTCAAATATTTGGGAGAATTTATATAAATATAAGTTTGTTATTAGTCGTAAAAAATAGAAAAATAAATGTATACTTTATTTGTAATGCATGAAGTGAATTTTTCTCCGAAAGGCAAGACAATGCAAAAAATATATTAATAAAGATGTAATTTTTGTGAATTCTGTCTCTAGCAAAGTATCTGTTTTATTTTTTCTTTTCCAATTTCTGTAAATCCAGCTACGAGTTTGACTTAATGGATCGATTGTTTTTTTTTGCCATTGTTTTATTTAAGATATGAAAATATTCAAAAGTTTGGATTAATAAAGTCACGATACGTAATAAATCCCGAAATACCCATGAAAAAAGTAAATGCGATAGTGTATGGGAAATTGTGTCAGCTTTATATTATGGCACGCAGGACAAAAGTCTGGAGTTAGTTCACACATGTATGTGAAGTTTAACCCTGATCAGTGATGAATCATAAAATCTTATCACAGAGTTATAAAAAATTTTTTATCGCAGATAAACCCGATATGTCTAAAATAACAGTTCACGTATATTTTTTTTAAATCAAGATTGATTAAAAAAAAAAATTTTAATCTTAAAAAATATGTTTGGAAAGTGTGTCTATGTATGTACCTTCTAGAAGTAATAGTCAGTGTATATGCCTCCGCTTTCGTGCTTCAAATGATCAATATATTTGTGCTGCATGTAATCATGACAAGTCTTATCATGAGTTTAATAATAATAATAATAGTGCTAGTAGTAATAATAATAATCACATATTTAATAATAATTAAATTCTATTTTTAGGCCAATCAGAGTATGTCATTCCAATTTTCAAAGTTACTGAAAAATATTTTTCCAGAAATAACAAGGGAAAAAGAAAAAAGAATTGACATTCCTAATATATTGAACCTTACAGCTACCGTATTCTGTTTAACTGAAGCAGATTCTAATGAAGAATCTCTAAAAATTCCACGAAGCGGGACAATTAAGTAAATTCTGGATTTATTATATTTTTATATTTAATTTAAATATGCTAATTATTTCTATTTTAGGCATCAAAATATGATTAGAGAGGACTGTATTAAAGAAGTAACATTTACAGGAACTATTGTAGAACTTATAGATAATTTTAAGAAATAAAAACTGAATAATTTATTGACCTAAAAGGTAATAATTTGAAATTATTATATTTTTCAAATATTCCTTTTTTTGAAATTATTAATTTTTATTATAAAATATTATATAATATTGCAGGTTCTAGAAAAAAACTATACATTGGATTATTTAATAATAACGGTACACTTAAATAATAATAATAAAAATTTTGAGTATTATATAATTATTATATTTTATATTATATTATTAATAGAACAAGAAGAAGAATTAGAAGCATCTAGTTCTTTACATAATGTAGCAAGTACTATTGGTAAATTTAAATAATAATAAAATTTTTATAATTATTTATGTAATAATATCTTTATTAATAATTATTTTCTGTAATATTATCATCAAGCTTCCAGCTCTTCATACAATATAAAAAGTACTTTGGAATATAATAATGGTAAATTTAAATAATAATAATTTTTATAAATATTTATAAAATATATTTTATTATAATAATTATTTTTTATAATATTTTATTAGCTTCTAACTCTTCATATAATATAACAAGTTTCAAATAATAATAATAATGAACCTGATGAATTAAATGAAAATAATATACTTGAATTCAAAAGTATTAATGCAGAATATAATAATAATTTGAATATTTTTAATGAACTACCTTCAAAACCTTTCAACATGACTGATATTTTTAAAGGCATTCAAAAGTTTTTAAGAAATCAAGAGAATATTTTCAAAAAAATCACAACCATTGTTATTTCTAAAAGCAAAGATCCTGTTATAGAGATTTTTAATTGGATTCAAAAATGCAATAGTCAAATGTTGTTGGATAAAATTAACTAATGTAAGTTAATTTTTATATTATTTATTATTATTATTGTTAATATAATTATTAATATGTATGTATTTAAATAATATATAATATAGGGTATAGATTATACATGTCATCAAAACTATTGAATTGAGTCAGATGCAATTAAAAATTAAAAATTGAAAAAATTAGAATTGAGTCAAAGGCTTTTTACTTTTGACAACATGCATAGTATAGATGTCAGTAGAATTATTCATGATATTCTATAAAATTTTTGGAATATTTTAGCCATTCCAAATAATTTTAACCAAATATTTTGGCAGGAGAAATTTTTGATGAATGTACTACAGGATCACTTATAATAGTTTCAAATCCAATTCTGTTAGTATATCACAATGCATATTACCATTTAGGTCATTTAATTTTTTGGTGTTTAATACATGAATTACCTTTTTCAACTTGGTTTCATGAATTTCACTTGAATTATATTATGGGCATTCCATTAAATTATAATATTTTATTACAAGAAACAAATCAAACCATAAATAATATGGTTGAAAAAATACAAAATTGTGAGAAAGATATTATTAATATATCAGAATTAAAAGAATAGACTTTAAACAGGAATATTCAGATACAGTGGTATGCAAAAAAAAATGATCATTTTTTTAAAAATTGATCATTAAGCATAACTAATCCAATTTTGATCATACATGCATAAATAAATATGCAAATAAAAGTCCTGTGATTGCACTATTATCCCCAAACAAAACTTTTCCCAAGTACTAGTAAAAATCATATTTTTTTAGTATTGAAATGACTTCTCTAAAGCAAGAAATACAACAAAAAATAATTTTACATTTCTGGAAGCAAGGAATATGCAATGCTGCCAAAATCCATTCAAAAACAAAGATTTCACTTAGGAAAATTATAACAACCTTAAAAAAATAAATGTAACTAGTGATGTCAAATGAAAAAGTGATAGTGGATGCATTAAAAAATAATATCAAGAGCTTTCCAGTCAATCGGACAGTTTATTTGAAGACAACCTATTGTTTACCTTTATTTTTATTAATTATTTATATATTTTATTATTATATATTTATTTGTATTATATATTTCTTATCATTAAATATAGTATTACAGTAGATCAATTTAATAGTCTGTAGTACAAATTAGATATTATTACTTAAATTAGTAAATTCCTAAATTCTTGTTAATCTGTAACACTAGAACACAAATTAGAGTACAAGCCAGAGTACAAGTTAATATCTCAGTTAAAATATAAGTTAAATTAACAGTTAAGGTACCAGTTAAGATATTAGTATAGTTACTAGTGAAGTTTACAGTCAGATTACAAGTTAGCTTAGTAGTTAAAAACGTAATATATATAAAGGCTGAGAATTTTCTCAACTCAGTCTTCAGTTTTTTTCTAGTCAGTTTCTTAGTTTCAAATTAGTTAGGATTTATTAAGTAATAAAGTTAATATTACAAAATCCTTTGAATTCCTTGTTTGTTGTATTCTTTTGATAATTAATAAACTGTTTACTCCTATTAACAAGTCTTTATACTACTGTTAATAATAAATACGCCTCTTTCATAATTGATCATACTTAAATCCTTCTATGTATAAACCTTCGTATTGTGATTATTTTATTTGAAATTAGTAATTCTTATAGTTATATTTAGTTTAGTTTATTAGTTTTAGTATTATTTTATCCCGTTGTCTCTGTAAATTGTAGAAGGTTTACACAGATAATACTACACTTTCTTCTAAATCTATTGTTAACAAATTAAAGAATATTGATATAAATGTTATTTGGTTAACAGTTTCAAGGTATCTGATTAGTCTTGAATACTGAAATGCACTTTCACTTGTTATACCAATGCTTACACAAGTACATAAACAAAAATGTATTAAATGGATCCAAAAACATAAAAATAATAATTGGAAAAAAACTTTTTTTAGTAACAAAGCTTTCTTTCAATTATTCTATAACATGATAAGCACTGGTACAAAAATGCAAAGCCAATTTGTCCAATATTAAAGGACCAAAATAAAATATTCATATGGAATAATTTTTGTGTAAAAGGTAAAACAAGTCTTTTCTGTTTTAAACATATAATAAATAGAAAATTTTATATAGAAATATTAGAAAAATATATTCTAGAGATGTGCAGTATATTCCAAGGTAGATAGTAGTGTTACTATGAGTTTCTTCCACTTTAATAATTTTTATTTATTATTATTTTATTTCTTATTTGTTATTTATTTTGTTAGTATAATTATTTAGCATATTTTATTTATTAGTTATAATTAATATTTATTTATTAGCATAATATGAATTACAGTGGCTCACAAAAGTACTGTAACAAAAAAAAATTTATCTTTGTTATAGTATTTTTCATTAATTTTAATAAAAAATATAAAAAATTTTTATATTTAATGATTATCACAATTAGCATCTTGTGTCACCTGATGTTAATTGATTTTGTTTATTTTATTGTTACAATTCTTTTGCAACTTATTTAAAAAAATTATTATTTTAATTTTTAATAATAATAATAATAATAAAATCCATTTTTCCCTATTAAGAAAAAAACTATTTGCTGATTTTTTTTTATTAATATATTTAAAAAAATCATCCATGAAACAAATATCTACTGAGAAACAAGCTAGGATAGCTGCACTTCTTAAAGAAGAAAATACTGTTTGCTATATTGCTCATGTCGAAGGTATTCACTTCTTTACTGTTTCTAGAATAAATAAACAGTTAAAAGAGATAGGTAATAATAAAAATTAACTAAAATCTGGATGTCCACGCTTAATTACCAACCATGATAAACAAAAAGTGCTTCGTCTTACAATGTCTAATGAAGCATCCATGATAATTCAAGTGAAGGAGCAGTTCGAAAGGAACAAAAATATAGAAGTAAGTATCAAAACTATACATCATATCCTCCAGAGAAATGGTCTAGTAACAAGAACCAAAATTAAAAAGTCTTACCTCAAAAAGACATATTGAAATTGGTGATTTGCCTTTGCAAAGAGGCATCTCTATTGGATGATTTCAGATTGGTCAAAGATAATTTGATCAGATAAAAGTAAATTCAATATTTTTAGTAGTGATGAAAAAGAATATTGTTGGAAGAGAGTAGATGAATCTTTAAGAAACTCCCATGTGAAACTAACTGTAAAATTTGGAGGTGGAAATATTATGGTGTGGAAGTGCTTTATTTCACTTGGTGTGGAAAATCTCTGTAAGATAGATAGGAAGATGAATAGTGATCTTTACTGAAGAATACTTACAGAAGATTTTTTAGGAATACTCTCTTGGTATAATCTAAATAAAGAAGATATTATTTTCCAACAGGACAATAATCCTAAATACACTACTAAACTTACAAAGGAGTGGTTTGAGGAAAATGACATAAAAGTACTTGAGTGACCAGCTCAATCTCAAGATTTGACCCCCATTGAGCATTTGTGAAATGAGGTAGATAGAAGATAAGTTCTTCAACTATTGATTTTATTTGCTTATTCTCTAATTTTTTTTTTCCATAATTGAAAGAGTTTTCAATAAGATTTGAAAAAACTTCCTGTAAAAATTACAAAACAAGATCAGTTGTAAGAACAGATTCAAGATGTATGGAATGATATTAATCTTGAGGTTTGTACTAAATTAATTGAGTCAATGTCACAAAGAGTAAAAGATGTGATGAAAGCAAGAAGAGGATATACAAGATGGTAATATATAGTAAACAATTAGAATATATTATTTTTTTTATTATATTTATTTTATTTTTTTTAGAAAATTACAAAATCTAAAATTTTAATAAAATCACATATGTAATACAATACAGAAATTTTAAATAAATAAATATATTTCTAGAATTTTATAATTAACTTATAATAATTTTTATATTAATATAAAATATAAAATCAAGGCTATTTAATAAATACAAATTTATTATTATGAGATCTATATTTCTTGAGTTATATTGATTTGAAAATTGGTTTTTTTTTTGTTGCAATACTTTTGTGAGCCACTGTATGTAAATCAATAATGTAGATCATAGTGGTTTAGTTACTGGCCAATTTACTGACCAATTTAATGGCCAACTGATTGATCAACTTAGTAGTCAACTGATTAATACAATTACTAATCAAGATTTTAACCAACTTACTGACTAACTTACTGGTCAAATTAAATAATTTAAAAAGGATGAATTTTCTCTTCACCTCAAGTAGATTCAAATAGTTCCAAAATAGTGAAATTTACAAAGTAATCTCAACTGTAATTAATTCTGTAATTGAATTAATATTTTTATAATCCTAAAGTAACTGGATTATTGATTTTCTTCATAATAAACTTATATTTTAAATATTAAAACTCTGTTACTTTTCTACTACAGTCAAACTCCTCTGAATACATCTCCTCTGAATGCATAACTCCTCTTAATGCATATTATTGGTTTGGTCCCATGGTAGGACTTAATGCTTATTGTATAATCCTTTGAATGCATATGCAATCAAAATTTTTATATAATAAATTTATATTCTAAACATATATATCACGTAATATATTATAATTTTGACCAGAGCTGTGATTAAATTTGTAAGTCCAAAGTAATTATTTTTTAATTTATCAATTTATTAAATAAAGATCATATAACATGAGCAATTAATTTTCATTATACGTAGTATAATATTTAATGATCGAAGTTTAATAAAGTAAACTTACAAATTTAACTTATTATCAAAGTCTAAATTATAACAAAAGTCTAATTAGTATAAAAAAATATAGAACCATTTTCTTTATTTAAGTACTTTTTAAATCATTTATATTTTATCCCACTCATATACCTTTTTCTATTGTAAAAAAATAATAAAATCTCCTTTATATTTTTGATTACACTCTTATACCGTATTTTTAACTAAATAATCTTTCAAACTTGTCTGTACAAGCGATTTCACCTTCAATATTCTCAATACATGTTGAATTTTCATTAAACTATTAATTTCTTTTAAATAATTACCTTCCTGACTCAAAAAGAAATATACTAATATGTCAAGTGATTCTGTTGCTTCTTTAATTGATACTGGCAAAAGTTCTGAGTTTTCATCCTCATTTTCTATATCATTTTCTTCAGTTTCTCTTGAACTGTAAACAAGGTCAACAATTTCCTCATTTGTGAACTGTTCATTAATTACATTTTCATTCTCTGGATTCAAAAAATCAGCAACTTTCATAGGATGTCGATAGCACAATAATCATATATCTTGATTTATTGCTACTATAACTTCACCCTCTTCATAAATATCATTACTTTCTGCTTCAGTTATTACCTCTTCATCTCAGATTTTGACATGCCAAAAACAATTGATAATTGTTATGGGTGTTACGTTCTCTTGTTATGATTCGCGGATAAACAAGATTGCCTCTAAAATTAACAGTTTACTCAAAATTGACTTATTTTCAAATTGTTCCAACAAATGTTACACAAACTTCCTTCGATAATATATCTTGAAAAATATAATTATCCCTGCATCACAAGGTTGTAATCGTGATGTTGTGTTTGGTGATAAAAATTTGATAGTTGTATTATTCAATTGTACACCAGTAACTATATAAAATGGAGCATTATCAAGAAAAAGAAGAACCTTCCAGCCTTGTATTTGCTGATCAAAATAATGCAACCATTCCTGAAACAAAATAGTTGCATCCAAGCCTTTTTATTATATTGATACATTACTTTAAAATTTGCAAGATTAACATTTTTAAAACAACGGGGCTTAGCACTTTGATCAATAACAAGTGGTTTCATCTTGTGTGAACTATCACCATTACAGCAGAGAGCAACTGACAACCTCTCTTTATTTTTTTTTTTACCTGCCAATTGTTGAGTAGCCAATGTTGTGTCAGGTTCCATCCGATAAAAAAGTCCAGTTTCATCTATGTTATAGATATCCTTTCATGCATAACTGTTTGTTAACTGTTTGAGATCGGTAATAGTTTCTCTGATTGCTTGTTCATTCACGAAGCCACTCTTACCATGCATCTGAATTTGTTTTAAATTATGCCATTCTTTAAACTGACGAAGCCAGCTATTTGAAAATGTGATTTTGTTCTTGTTCACATCAAAGAGATTTGCAAAAACTCGTGCCTTTTCTATATACCTGCCACCCAAATTCAAAATCCAAATGCCAAAATCCCAAATGCCAAAATCCCAAATCCCAAATCCCAAAT